CTAACTATTCGCTACGAAGTTAAGAATAGTTATGCTTACTCGTCGTCCTCTCTTGCCGGACATTCCTTCGGGACCTGGTGGTCCCATTGGACCCGGCGCTCCCATTTCACCCTGAAACAACGAGTTAACACCTTTGGGGTTAGTCGGGTTAGCAACAGCCACACATATGACAATAATTAATCAATACACTATCAATGGACGAATATTGAGCATAGTGAGCCAAGGGAAGACGGACAAGACAATCGTAATTTGCTGTCGTCGCATGCGGCTTATCGTGCGGCAGCAGGAGCTCATGTGCATCAGTTTTTCGACCAAAGCAGCGAATTCTATCCGATATAGTATTTTGTTCGCGTTCCTTTGACACTCGAATCCACAAGACCAAGCAGGACAACTCCGCCGTGCGCTGCGTCGTTCGTCACGCCCACCAGCGCGGCGTATTACGATTGTCTTGTCACATACCCGTGAGCCAGCTGGGTCTTAATATCTGGTCAGGTCGACCAGGATACCAACAAACGCTTTGCGCTTATGAAACACAAAATGTAACCTTGTTAGCGGCCCTGATTCGGAATTTAGCTCTGGGAAATGTCAACGGACTCACCTTTTCTCCTTTCTCGCCGTTCACTCCATCTCTACCTGGCGGTCCGGGTGGTCCCATTACGACCTAAAAGGGAACAAAATAAACTAAAGAATCCCCATTTTCTTCTGAACGAAGACTACGAACCTTTCCTCCGGAAACAGCCGCTCCTCCAGGTATTCCAGGAAGTCCTCGAGGTCCTGCAACTCCCGGTTCACCTCGATCGCCTTTCTCGCCCTAAATCATAATGGTGATGGCGACTTGGGGAACTTGAATAAAGGAACAAGCGAAAATTCCATGTTTTTTCCAAGGTTATACTCAAATTCGTTTTCGTGTGAAGCTATCTTGCGTGGAAGACAAATGGGAAGTAAGTTTGCTGCTGCTGAGGGGCTGGGTTTGGCGCGATGCCAACCCGTTCTCCACCAAATCTTGAAGCGGGTAGGCGACAAAAATAAGGTAAATTTGCCGTCTCCGCGTCGAACCCTGTCCCCTTGACACGTTCCAGCATGCGCATGAACAACACTGTACACAGCCATGCCTCGTGCTACACTGCGATATGGACGTTAGGTCTCATTTATCCTCCCACGCTGCTGGGTTTCCCATCAACTGAGCCCCAAAAGACGGTAACCTTGATTGCCTTAGTGTGGTAGCTGGGACGGAACCATGGCCAGTATTGATAGACCCATTCTTTGGGGTTCGAAAACCCTTGAAAGGATCCTTAGAAGCTTGCAATACTTGTCTGACCATATAGTCTTGTAAAGGAAACAACCGAAAACTAAAAAAAGTCATGCGCGTGCAGGCAGTTCACTACAACTATACATCTACAACTATCTATCAAGCATACTATGCACAACATAAAAGTCACACTACCTGTGGCCCACGTGGTCCGTGTCGTCCGTCCTGTCCGCGAGCACCAGGTGGTCCTGGAGGACAGATTGCTGGCGGTGCTGGAGGTGCAGGTGCTCCTGGTAATCCTGGTGGCCCTGGAGGTCCAGGTGGGCCAGGAATCACATGAGCTTGGGCATGGCGATGATGGCTATACGCAGCCGGAGCTCCGGGTTCACCCTACACAACACGACGACTCACGAAAGAAAGAAAAAACAACCAAAAATTACGATACGGAAACGAGCAATGAACATGCAAAAGAAGGAAAGAATGTAAGCCCAAGGCAAATTTGGCTTGGGCCAAAAGATCGGGGTTTAGTTAGTACAACGCTAGGAAAAGAAGCCTACCTTTTCTCCACGTTCACCTTGAGGTCCACGGAGGCCTGGGATGCCATCACGTCCCGGTTCGCCATGTTCTCCTTTTGGTCCGACCTTAAACGCAATCGTATTCAATTTCGGAAAAAGGACGCGAACGAACGCACCTTGCTTTCTCCGTCGAAACCAGGAAGACCACGATCACCCTTTATTCCGGGTTTTCCTTCGGGACCGACGGGACCCATTGGACCAGGAGGACCTGGTGGCCCAGGTGGTCCTTGGATCATTAGCGGTGAGTTCGGCATAGCAGAGCCAACCTTAAATTTCTCTATTAGAAGGGTCCAAAATAGGGCAGCAACGTCTAACTCACAGCCTACAGTCCTGCAGATTCCGATTGTAGCATCTACTTATTGATCGGCTAATTACACTTCAAATTTTTGGCCAAATCGGCTGCTTTGCAATATAGACCATCACGAGTCGTCACAATATCAACAGTGATCTACAGATAACCGCGGATGCAGAGAGAAAGTCAGCCGAAAATCTCGTTCGCAGAATTCGCCGCCCGCGACGCTTTCCGCTGAAGAGACGCAAAGACCACTCTGTTTCTCTGCGCTCAGCTGACTAGCTCTCGAACATCGCGTTCATGCATAAAAGGGACATGTTGCCAGCACAACAATTTCGTTACTCTATATTCGTTGTAAAGATGGCTCTTCGATTGATTCAAAGCCCTCCAACCGTCTGGTGAATCAGCCTGACAACAGATCACAATAAAAGATGAAAATTAGGATTGCACAGCAACAACGCAGAATTTTTTTTAGAGACCGATGTGAATTTTTTGCGGAAAACGCGCCGCATTGTGCAAGTGGACACGCCCACAGAAGTGCGGCGCGGTTTAGCCTGCTTACCCTCGTGTTAATTCATATTGAGAAGCGAATCCAAGAACCAAGTGTATTATTGTGGTGAATACGCCCACGCAACTGCTGCAGGGTTTTCATGCCCACAGCAAAGGAAGCTTCCAAAGGAGTGCATGGATTGACCTTGAAATTTCAAGTTATTACCTGTATCTGACCGTGAATAGGGCCACCACGGTCACCTTTCGGTCCCGGATAACCGGGTGGTCCAACAGGACCTCGATCACCGCGTTCTCCTTTGACTCCAGGGCTTCCCTAGAATTAATAGATCACATTATAGTAAGGCACTGACAAAAAACGAGGACCAAGACCAGAAAGTAGGAGGACCAGAACCGACTGCACAGCACACTTCGTGATGGCAATGTGAGGATCGAAAACGTCAATAGTATTTGCCCTGTCTATATCTCGGCCGTTGGAAGGGGTGTGGTTTAGTTCCGCGCGCAGCGGCGGTGGAACAAGTGCTGTTTTAGGCAGGCACATAGACAACCAACGTGCGAAAGGGAAACATTCACATGCTTCTCATCCCTTTTTCTCTGTTTCGAAAATTGTCCGCCATACGCAACTGCAGCCAAACTCACATGTGTGTCCGTGGACACTCCCCCTACAACGCCGAGATATGGACTGTAGTTCAAAGAACAAATGCATAATTGCACCGCTTCCTTGAAGTGGGTAGCCTTCCAAGGTAACTAGATAGGGCTTGAATATTGGCGAAAATCTTTGATTTTCGTATCTGAGCTGCTTCGGGACTTCCATTGTTTAAATGCGGAGCATTAGCGCCAACTCTTTTTAAATAAATGCGGCCGAGGTCTCTACTGCAGGGTCAAATCAAGTCAAGTGGTTTGCGGACATATGTGCTCCAATTGCATCACACTCTCGAACATGCCCAAAACCTACCGGTAAGCCTCTTGGGCCATCCAAACCTATAGGACCCTAAAATTGTGGATTATTCACGTGTTATTTTAAGGAGATAGCTGAAGGGTTATTCTTGCAGTAGCCATGGCTCACGAGCAGGGTTTTTTCGGCCTCAACGCCTACGCAACTTTTTCCCCAAGTAGCAACAAGGCGACCTGGGCTGTCGAAATATTTTGCCCGTCCCGTCTGTGGCTACTGCAGTCCAGAATAACGCACTCGGCTATCTTCAAAGCAAAAAAATAAACAGAAAAATAGGGCAGATAACTGAGGAAACTAAGAAGCACACACCGGAAAACCAGGATATCCACGAGCGCCTTTTGTGCCCTGAAAATGTGAACTTAAGAGTGCGTGAAGTGAAATCTAAGTGAAGATACAGTAGTCATTCAATAAGTCGTCGTTTTCGACATGGATTAGGAATAGTTATCGATTTTTTCGGCCATCATGGCGTGGAATGCGGGTCGAGAGATCCACGTTGCGGCGGTGCGGTGGATGCGGCACCGAGAGTGACGTCACGTGCGCGGTAATCGCACCATAATCTGACTTGACGTGGAATGCTACTTCCTGTCAGGTGTTTGCGCGTGTCGCCGCAACGTGGATCTCTCAACCCATGTGAGGAGCAAAGAGGGCATAACCACGTGCCCCCGTTGGCGGAGCTTGGGCTAATAGCTGTCACGTATCCCTAATATAAGCTGCACATCGTCAAAGACATGCATGAGCGTACCGGCGGTCCAGGTGGCCCAGGTGATCCCCGTAGTTGAATCGCCTGACCGTCCGGTGAGTAGAGCATACCGAAGGCGCGAAGTTTACGCTGTAGTCGTGCATCCAATGGCTACAAACACAACGATGAATGACCATCACAAAGCACAGAGTTACGTGGACCTAATGACACACGTACATGTGAAGGAGTGGGAGTAGTTCTGCGACGATAATATGGTGCTGGCGCTCCCTAAAATACGTCACGATACGTTCACAACACATCAACAAAATGTCACCATTCACAACGAATGTATTCGAGAAACAAGGTTGCAAAAGAATTTTCCAGAAAGTCAGCCGCTAGGAGGAGGGACTGGGTTTGCTTGAAACAGCATGTTGGCTAGGAGGCGGGCTAGAAGCTCCAAAGTTATTGGTGAAAGGAGCTTGGCCTATTAGGGCACGTCCTGCGCTGCGGTTCCCAGGCTCTCGACTCGGCTCGGCTCGGGAACAATTCTACTGATTGTCGAGGCGACTAACTACACCCCCCCCCCACCACCCTTCTGTGTTACGGTAGTGCCAGGAGACTAATATTTCTGTTAGTTGATGAAATGTGTCCACCGCCTTCCCCACCGTTCGGTTCAACGTCAAAATTTTGGGAAAGTTTATTAAGATGACTGGTAGGTTGTGGAAGGGGCCGTAGAGGAGGGGAAAATTCGGGGGGGGGGGAATCGTAAATAGCAAAATCCTCCCTAACACCAGGCTAAGCCCTATTGGCTACACGTGCCTTGCCGTTCTGGGAGCTGTGATACGATGGTTTTCCACTTATAATACCGGAATTGGCTTCTTGGCTCCTAGCCAATGCACCCACTGCCTTCTAATGACGGAGTTTCTGGAAAATTCCATGACAGAAATAGTGCGCTTGGGATAGCTTCCGCAGTGTGGAGCTCACTCTAACCAAAATCAGATACTGTAGGTAACCTACTGGCCATCCGTTGTATCCTCTATTACCCTATAAAGGCAATAGTCTAGATATTGTTTGGAAAAATTACTGTTGAAATCGCAAAAAACACCGTACTAAGTGATTTGAAGTTCCCGAAAGAAAGTTATTGCATTTCAAAATATAGTACTGAAATAAATTAGCAAAATGGCTATAATATCCTACTCTGAGGGGATAGCTGCAGTCTTGTTCGCTGCGGATAAAAGAGCACGTCAGTAAGGCTGGGTTTCACGCGCCGCCAGCCTTCTCCACCAGTTTTTGAAGCTGGTAAGCCGCAACAAGTGGTGGAAAACGTCGAAATGATACAGCTTTGTCGCTTGTCGAAAAAAAAAGAAAAACCGGCTGGCGCCGCGCTAAGCTCGAGAAGTGCGGAGGCCAAGAACCATTGCTCCTCCGTCATTAGTGCTTTTCTACGGCGAAGAGGAAGGCACAATGGTTGCCTTTCTCCGCCCATGCGATTATAGCAGAATGTTTACATAAAAAATCAATTAAGCGAAAAGAAGTTGAAAATAGAAAGAAGTATAGATAAACAAATGTCGATATGACTTTCAAATAAATACACAAAAAATAAAAAATATAAACGTCGGTGTATGACATCAAAAATGATGAACGGATTTCAGGATGAGAGAAAGGAAATGAAATCGAGAAAAGCGTCAATCATCCATACCCAGTTCCTTGCGCTCGATTTTCAGAAACTTGGCCGGTTAGGGGAGCTAAGGCAAACGTTGATAACCATTATGGGGCATCTCTTTTCTCACCATGAATGACATACAGTTATTTTCTGCTACGGATGATCGAGATTCGTATCAGCAAAGCGATGAGCCAGCACGCGCCCCAAGCTAGCTTTTTTTGGCCAAGGGCAAAAGATCATCATATAGTTCACTAAACAACGAGCAAAATATGATTGTGCGCTTACACCGCTCCAAAAAAACTGGTGGACAAGAGCCGTCGCGCGCCGGACAAACTCAGCTCCACTGACACGCCCATCATTCGCACGGGACATAAAACCTGGCCTAGCATACATTGTAACTCGAATATTAGGACAAATTGGCGCCCCGATGGCATTGGTTTTAAAGCCTGGCGCGCAGAATCTGTCCCCAATAAATCAGAAGCTGTGAGCATTTCAGATAATGGTAGTTCTCAACGCAAAAAACTAACGAAGAACTTAGGGCTATTTCAAATGTAAGTATAATAATACTAAGCTACTTACTACTCACTACTAATAATAATAATATTAATAACAATAATGAATAGACAATAGTAATATTAACGAATAATAATAAAGCTAAAACAGGTAGTTGATGAAAATCTGAAAAGAGAAGTAATGATGAAGTCAAGAGGCCTATTTTCCCTTTCAGCTGGGAATATCCTCCCATTTTCCTGCACACACTGTTGACAGATGTTCTTACCGGTGGTCCAGGTGGTCCGCGTTCTCTCTCGCTGGACTGCCAAAAAGTGACAATTTAAGCGTCGTCCAATGTTCTTATCGACTGAAAAAAGCGGAGTTCCCAGTGAACAGAACAAACGTCAGAAAGATGAACTTTGCAAGCCCAATGTACGAATGCGCGCGCGCATTTGCCTATCGCGTTAGAACTCGTGGTCATACTGACATGATTTGCTGTACAATGATTGAGGTGATCAGTTTCGCTGAGATGTTTTCATTTCCGAAATGAGCTCAAGTGTTTTCTAGAATTTGCCTCTGATCTGTTAGCTGGGGTGGAAGCACTCAAGTGGGGCGTCACAATACCTCTACCCAACTTGCGGCTCCTCACGGCCGGCTAGAGCGCTGAAATGTTATTCCAGGCTAAGGAGGCACACCCACAATCCCGATAATGAGAGTGGGCAATGGTGCTGCGACATCATGTGGACCTAGCCTAGGAGTTTTTCTCATGGTCACGGTAGTTTTAAAAAACATGTTTGAAAAGCTCGTCGCCGTCTAGCTAATTACTATCGCAGACCGCATATCACCTCGCACGCACATTTGTCCCAAAACGAGATATCCCATCAGAAGCGCAACCGTCTATTTCCCGTCTCCCATACAGAACTGTGGGCGGAGGTAGGAACTCCAACCGACCAGGTCAAACAAACTTTTGGTTTTCTTGACGTTCTTGAATGAATTGTCCGTAGACCACAAGTTCTTGGTGTACTTCTGCTTTATTCTTCCCTCTTCTGAGGATGTCATGACATTTCGTTGTTGCGGGAACTCCCCAGCGGGTCGGCTTCGTCAATGTCAGATGTAATATGACAGATATGAGATGTTCGACAATGATGTGCGACATTACAGCTGTTCATCCTCATCATCATACCGTCAACGTGCCCTTGTCACTAGTGCTTCTCGTAATGCCCTTTGCAAAGTACGCCACCCATACGGCATTTTCAGATGGAGGAAACTCTAAAGCCATGTACCGCGCTGACGAGAACTGTCAGGGGTCAGCTGTACGGCAGACTCAGGCACATGCGCAAGAATATGCCCATAACGGCCGAATTCGCGTCAGAGCTCTCTTAGCTTATAAGAGCTTGAACAAAGTCTTCGCCGTTTTCTGGGAACCTTTCGATCTACATTTTTCCATTCAGTTAGGGGCATGTGCACATCATCGCACAACAGAAGTACATTATATGGTCGCAATAGTCGAGAATACCAGGAAGCCTCAGGCAGGACCCAACCACGCGCGGCGGCAATTTTCTACCGTCTTGTTGCTTTGTTTCTGACGCGATTCACACTTAAGTGGTCACTCTTGGAAAAATGCAGAAGGAGGTGGGGGCTTATTCTTTGTATACTTTGATCACCCTGCCCTAATCGTATTGTTTTGGTTGTGAGAAAGGAAGTGCCTTATTGACGCGCCTCTCTTTCTTACTACTTTAGAAGTGTAGGCACATCGAAGAACAGAGCTCTATGGTTCCCTGTCCACGCCCCTCCGATTATCGTGGACTGTGCCTCCAATCGTTGCAGCTGAGCTACTCTTTCATAATCAGGTTATGTCGAAACAGTCAAAAGGCCTCACTCTCACATTTCTGGCTGCCCTTCAATTCAATCTGGCCGAAATAGAGTTGATTTCAAGCTTGCAACCTGGTGGAGAGCCGCAATCACTGAGCCATTGGACGTACGTGCGAACCCGGAACGCGTCGCCAGTTGCGCATTCCGAGAGGTTCGAGAGGGTTCTGAGAAGAGCGAAGATTAGCTGAAAGTCAACATATCACTTGTTAAACTTGAAAGTTAATATTGAAGACTGATCATCCTATTGTAGGTTAAATGGAAGGTTCAACTAGCCCCGGCCGATCTACCCTATCGAGTATCTTCGAGCTGCGTCCGAAAGAGGGAGGGGGAAATTGAAGTTGGCAGCAAAATCCTTTGAAAGACGTCTACGTACCGGTGGTCAACCGAAGCCGTAATTGCGAATATTTTCAGCTGGTATTTTTGTTAGCAACAATACTTTGAAAAAGGATACGTGCTAGATTTACGCGTTTCGCGACCTCAGATAAGAGTGGTCACTGTTTAGCACAAACCTCCACACCTTGCTGCCAGCTTTTGACTTGGAGCGGTGATTGAACCACAGATTGGCCTGCTGCTGAGCAGCCACGCTATCTCTGCGCTTCTACCCAAACTTTGATAGTGAATTAGTCAATTTAGTTAAGAACGTTGTTTTTTCGCTCGTGTAAGTTATGCGCTGAAGGGACACCTTCTGATTTAGAGCCTAGTCGAAATCATTGATTCGCGTTATCTTTTACCGGTATAGATGGCCTATTATCAAAGGAGTTAACGCGTGATGAAGGCTGTTTTTATTTTCGCGTGCCCCGATAAATTTGATTGGTAACATTTGGCAAGGAAATTACAACTGCAAATGTTTTTTACAACCAGCGATCCCGTCGACAATGGGATTGTCAAGAGCGTTTGTTTTAAGATTCCTTTCTGTACAATGAAACACGGCGACGTATAATCATGGCGACACGAGATACGATTGCCGAATCAGAGGGTAATGGCTAAGTGATACTCTAACGGAGATCCTCGAGGGATCCAACCATTGGGCAACTTTTCCAAGAGCACTAGTAAAACTTCACTCCTCGTTATTTGATCTCCCGAACCTCTGCTGTGAAACCGG